GTCAGGCCAGAGAAGGCCAGTAACAGGAGGAAGACTTCAGGAATCCTTCTTCCCCTCCCCCCAATGAATTGCCTTTGGATGAAAAGTTCACTTGTTGCTGGGAAAACTCAACCCAAATTAAAGTATTTGTTTTGGGCAGTTGTGGTGAAGTGCTTTTTTTTAAAAAAAAATATATATTTTATTGATTTTGTACAGAGAGGAAGGGAGAGAGATAGAGAGTTAGAGACATCGATGAGAGAGAGTCATCGATCAGCTGCCTCTTGCACACCCCCTATTGGGGATATACCCGCAACCAAGGTACATGCCCTTGACCGGAATCGAACCGGGGACCTTTCAGTCCCCAAGCCGACGCTCTATCCAAACCGGTTAGATTGAGCCAAACCAGTTTTGGCTGAAGTGCTTTTTTGTTTTTGTTTTTGTTTTTTAAGTTTTTGTTTCTTTTTGGCAGCGGCTGTAATAAGGACAGAAAATGCCTAAGTTATAATAAAAACAAAACGTGGCCCTGGCCAGGAGGCTCAGTTGGTTGGGTGTCATCCCATACACCAAAAGGTTGCAGGTTCTCTTCCTGGTCAGGGCATATACCTAGATTTTTATTTAACTATTACCATTATTAACCCAAAGTTTCCACATATAATGTCCCTTTATGTAACTGTTAGAAAACATGAAGGCATTGCCAACTGCATCACCCACAGCACTTTATGTGGCGTCTATAAGAAACCTTACAATTCACCTTAGTCGGCTTGGCTCAATGGATAAAGTCTAGGCCTGCAGATTGAAGAGTTACGGGTTCAATTCCGGTCAAGGGCACATGCCCGGGTTGTGAGCCCAATCTCCCATAGGGGGTGTGCAATCTCGGGGGTGTGCAGGAGGCAGCCGATCAATGGTTCTTTCTCATCGTTGATGTTTCTATCTCTCTGGCCCTCTCCCTTCTGTTCTGAAATCAATAAAAAAAAAATTTTTTTTTTTAAAAAAAGAAAAGAAACCTTACAATTCTTCTGCAGGGCCTCACTTTCCCGTCTGTCCCTCCCTCCTCCCCCCACCCCTCCCTGCAATGAGGTCCCGTGACTCACGCTGGCCTCTGGTCCTTCCTGTTAGGAACTTGCCACAGCCTATCTGGTACCCACTTTGCTGCCACATTTGCACTGTCCTCTCTTCCTTGGCTTGGGTTTTCTGTTTTCATTGTATTCATTTATCGCTGTCTTTTTATGTTTCCCCCCCAAAGCATTTCAAATCCTTTTAAGAAAGAAGCAGGCTATAACTATAATCTCTTTATTTACTGTCATTAATAAGCAGATCAATGACCAGCTTCTAAAGAGCCATCATACAAGAAGGAAAAAAAAGAGAGAAGAGACCTTAGGCTTAAAGCCATGTGTGAGTCTCAATGCCACCCTCACTAGTGCACAGCTGTGACTCTGGGCCAGACTTTCCATCTCTTTATACCTCAGTTTACGCCTCTGTAAAGTGCAGTTAATGATTCTTGGTTCATATGACTTCTTTGAGGATTAAATGAGATGCTCAGAAAATGATAACTGTTTAATTACAAAGCACCAAGGTGTGAATCATTATAAAGTGTAGCTCATATCACTTGCAAACATGGAACCCGTGTCTCAGTTTCATTTGGGTCTGTGTTGTGTCCCACACTTTTCCAGCACCTGTCCCACAGCATAAGAAGCCGCACCACCTGGAGGCGGTCAGCAGTGCTGCCTGTGGAGCCGTGTTGAGTTGTTTTCATCTACAACACATGCCTCTGGCTCTCAGGTGTCCCTGGTGATGGGGGAGGGAAAACATGAACGAAGGATAAGGAAGTGATAGTCCATGGACTGTCACCACCGCTCTCCCCTCCACTGCTTTTTATTTTCATTCTTCATCTTTCTTTCCAGGGCCACTGCCCTGGGGATCTTCGTCATCTCTCTGTCTGGACCCTCCCACCCCACACCTCCACCTCCACCCCCAGAGGCCTTGGTTCTGGCGTCCCCACTCCAGCCCTTCCACCTCCTTCTTCCCACAGAGTCCTCTCCCTGAAGTACAGATGCCCGCATGTCCTTTCCCCAGTTAGAAACCTCTCCACAGCTACAAATAAAGGCCACACTACTGACAGGACACAAAAGTAAAATCCCGTACAGCACTTTTCATCCCACGTTCACACATTTTGTCTCTTGAGTCTTTCTTAACATGGAGTAGCTCCACCCCATCCCTTCGTTTTGAAGTATCCAGACCAGTCGTCTTTAGCACACACTGAGGATTTTTTATTTTGTTCCTCTAACCTCCGTGTTTCCTATAAACTAGAAATTAGTTCTAGAGGTCTCTGTCTCTCTGTCTCTTTTAAAATAACAACTGGCCGGGAAGGGTCCTTTCCCTTCCCCTTACCCACCTTTGGCAAGAGGGGCGGGGGTGGGGGGGGCAGGTAGGAAGCCCCAAGGGCAGCACCCAGAGCGGCTCCATCCATTCTTTAATGTTCCCAGAGCCCGTGCTCTGAGCAGGTCCTGTGTAGGGGCTGGGAGCTGACCAGAAATAAGCCACCATGTAATGGCATGTAGTTTGTAATAAGAAAGATAACTAATTTATGAGGCGTGGACAGAGGGGTGATCTTTTCAGTCAGATGGTTGGTGAAGATCTGTCTGCCATCCTTATAGAGAACTTGAAGCAGGAGAGAACTCTAGAGGGAGAGGACAAGGGAAGGGGGAGGGGAGGGCGAGGGAGATGAGGCACCTGTGGGGGAAGTGGAGGGGCAGCCCAGGCTTGGTGAGGTTCCTGTGTCTGCTTGCCCGACCCACCCACCGGGACTCACCCTCCCCTCCACCCCCACCCCCTTCCCTGAGCTCATTGTTTGCCTGGAGGCCTGTGCTGGGAGGCCTCTTCCATACTGCACCATATTCCCCCATGTAAACAGCACCGATTTACAGCTGATTTTAAACACTGCTTTTTTTTGGGGGGGGGGGGGGGAGGGGAGGGAGGGGGAGGGAGGAGTTGGGACTAGTGAAAAAAGAACTCACCTGTTTTTACCCATCAACTCTAAAACTCCTCTCGCTTATTTCCAAATCAACTTTAAAACCCATGCTCAGCCGAAACCGGTTTGGCTCAATGCATAGAGTGTCGGCTTGGGGACTGAAGGGTCCCAGGTTCGATTCCGGTCGGGGGCATGTACCTTGGTTGTGGGCATATCCCCAGGAGGGGGTGTGCAGGAGGCAGCTGATTGATGACTCTCATCAATGTTTCTAACTATCTCTCTCCCTTCCTCTCTGTACAAAATCAATAAAATATATATTTTAAAAAAAACAAACCCATGCTCATGTCAGAAACTTTAGCATATGAAAAATACGTGCTGTTTTGAGTTAAAGAAGTACTTGCTTCCCCTTTATTTTGGGAACTACAGCTCAGTAGTTTCAGAAAGAGGCGTGGCTGTTCTGTGGAGGCTCCACCTCAGGATGGAACGATAAACAAGCCCCAGGGCCACCTGGACGCCTGCGGGACAACATGCACCCGTGGGCTGAGCTGCTGCCACAGGGCGAGAGGGTGGCAGTTCAGAGGGGGGCTCAGAACAGTCCCTCCCCCGGGAGGCATTCCCTACGTGTGGCACTCCGCCTTCCCCAAACTCCAGATCATCTCTCCCTCTCTGACATTCTTGGCAGTGATCCCGACTTGGCCGGGCTTCAGAATGACACAGGTCACACGGGAGAGCCCGGCCCCCACAGAGCCTCCGGAGAACTTCCTGGAAAGTGTCCAGGGAATCTGCTCTGTGGGGTCCCAGGGTCCAGGGGATGCTGGTGAACATAGGATGTTCAAATGAAGCTCATAACGGATTTGACCAGGAGGCTAGACTGTAAGGCAAGATTCATAGCGGATTTCAGTTTTTTAAACACATCTTTAAGTCCCCAGAGTACTCGATGGGGTGCTCTATATATTCCTAGTGGCAGTTGAATAAACGAATAAAAGACATTAGTGTTTAGGAGCAGGGTTATGTCCCTCTGCACTGGCCACGCACAACCCCCTCTGGCCATGGGTCTTCCTCCGGAGTCTTTAGCACGGTCATGGCCTGCTGATGCCCTCCTTTGTGACTGTAGCTCTGCCATCTCTCCTGGTTTCCACAGTCACACATCTTACTGGGAAGCTTACTGGGTTTGATCATTTGGATGTTCCTACAAAGCGTCTTTTCTCCTATGCCTGTGTCTCCTCTCTGTTTCCCGTGTTGGTGAAGGCCCAAGCCACCTTCATTTGGGGCCAGAGTCCATGCATTCTACCTCTTAGTCATGCTTGCCTGCGAAGCCTCGAGCCTCTTACTCACCTTACATATTATGTCACTCACCCTGGGGGTGGAAGGTTGGGGAGGAAAACAAACTCCTCAACATTGCCCCTGAGGTGTGCCTCCCTCTTCTCTGCAGCCCAACTCCTGGCCTTCCCCACCGTCCCGTTGGTGTGGGGGGTCCACATTATAGAAATAGTACCCTGACCCCTCAGATGAACTGGCTCCTAAAGAACTGAGATTGAACTAGTTCCCTGTGAGGGGGCCTTGTTATCTCAGGGTCAGCACTTTGCATGTGAAGGTCCTTCCTGGAATCCCTTTGCTGGCTTTGCCACCTGGCTGACATCACTTCCGTTTTGACTCACAGAGCATTTCCTGCAGGATGCTTCCCCTGACCACCGCCTTTTCCTCTTGCATGAGTTAGATGTCCTTCCCTAGGTCTCGTGCATCCTCTGTTATTGACTCACCACCGTACTGTAAATCCAACTCACACATGTTTGCCACAGAATCTGAGCGTCTGTAGAGCAGAGACCATGTCTTGCCGACATGACATTGATGCACTATAAATAGTTGTTGAACAAATGAATATATAAGCAGGCTGGTCGGTAAACCATCTCCACATCTGAGTTTGTTAAACTCTCTCTGGCAAGGAAGAAATATGCATTGTTTTTATTCTTCACTAATGGAGAGATTTTGGTGGCTTGATGCCAGTTGTAGGATGGTAAAATAATGTCATTGCTTTTCTATTCCCACAGGAAATATGGGATGTATAAAATCAAAAAGCAAAGACCGTCTGAATGATGATGGAGTAGATTTGAAGACGCAACCAGTACGTAATACTGACCGAACTATTTATGTGAGAGATCCAACGTCCAATAAACAGCAAAGGCCAGTAAGTAGATAGTCTCAGGAGAGAATTCCCACAGCAGGATCAAAGCATGACTGCGTAACTTAAACACCAAACCTATAACATGCGCGTGCAAAAAAAAAAATCACATCAGTAATTTAGGCCTCAATTTTTAATATGCTTTATAACTTAATCCTGTAAAGAGCCTGTAAACATTTGAGAGAAAACCGGACGGTCACTTATTGTACAATAAAGCGGCCCTGGGTCACCTTCTCTGTAGAGAAAAATCATCATTCATATCACTGGTGTGAATACCCATTTTTAAAAATATATACACGTGTCTATCTGAGCTTGTGTGACTTAGGACAGGTAGTGAGATTAGTGCAATGGTCTGGAAGCAGAAGGATGTGCTGCATTCAAGTCAGAAGCTAATACAGGTGCTAATATCTCCTTTACCTTATTTTGTCATTCTTCAACTAATAGGTAATAGTACAGAGTAGAGGCTGCTATGGCTTACTATAATTAAAAGATTTAAAAAAAACAACAACAACAACAAAAACACACACACACACACAGCTAGTTCTGCCCACTAACCTTGGATGATCTGTACCAGAAAGGTTATATGAGTGTGCTATTTGATGAATTTGAGAATGTTTGGCAAAGGAAAAACTAATGTCACATTTTATGGAAAAGAAGAACAAAGCTTTGGATAATCACAACCTTAAATGCACTTTATCTCAGATGTTATATCCTTGACCTCAATTCTCTCTTTTTTTATGATCTAATCCTCACGGAGGATATGTTTTTATTGATTTTTGAGAGAGAGAGAAACATCGATATGAGAAACATCCATCAGTTGCCTTCCATATGTTCCCCATCCTGGAATCGGACCCGCAACCTAGGTATGTGCCCTGACCAGGAATCAAACCCGCAACTTTTTGGTGTAGGGGAAGACGCTCCAACCAACTGAGCTACCTGGCCCGGGCGATTCTCTCTCTCTTTATGGATGATAATATACATAACAAATCTCATGGTATTTATGGAACTCCTCAGCATTTAACCTGGAAGCAGCTTATTCCATGTTAACCCAAAATACCTTGTTCTTATAGTTTCTCTTGTCTGAGAAATGCCCTGGCGTTCTAGAAGTGTATTATTGTTATCAAGACCTTCAATCAGCCTTCTCCCCCTCTGTTCCCCATTATCCTATAGGTATGACATATGTCACAGTCGCCCGTCATTGTTGAAATTGATAAGTCACTATTGATCTTCTTATAAAGGAGTAAAGATAAAGAATGAATGTATTTCTGGATAGATATAATAATATGTCATTTTACATAAAAACTCAAAGTGTATAAGATTATTAACAGCTTTAATGATTTTACTTATAAATAATATATCCTACAGATAGGTTTATAGTTGTGAGAACTCAAAACACATACTCTTGTGGTATTATTTATTCTTGTGTTATATGTTTTTTTCCATATGAACAACTGTAAACCTCCTTTTGCCTACCCCTGTATTTAAAAACATTGCATTAATAGGTGTAGATATAGAACTATATATTATATAAATATGATGAGTAGAAAATAAAATTATATAAGGAATTAAAGTTACATATAGTCATTATTATAGGCTTTGAAAAGTCTGGCTTTTTGCTGGTATTACATATCCCAGATTTTTACATATTTTAAAATCTAATTTTGTGGTGTGTGTTTTTTTTCATTAATGATGAACGAAGAATTTTTTTTTTATTCGGAAAAGAGTACAGACATACCATTTTTCATCTTATTAAAATTTAAGTTAGAAAGCAGAAATAGCCCTAATTGGTTTGGCTCAGTGAATGGAGGGTCCCAGGTTCAATTCCAGGCAAGGGTATGTACCTTGGTTTCAGGCACATCCCCAGTGGAGAGTGTGTGGGAGGCAGTGTGTGAGGTTTCTAACTCTCTATCCCTCTCTCCCTTCCTTTCTATAAAAAAAAAAAATAAAAATAAAAATATATTTTTTTATAAAAGAAAGAAAGCAGAAGTAGTAAACATGTTTGACATCTTTCAATTCCCGTATTTTAGTTCGTGCCTTCTGTGGTCGCAGAAGTCCTGTTTTATGAGTCGGTTAGTTTGGCCTAAGTCCACGGCCACAGATAAGTCAGCTCCGGCAGAGGTGCCCGAAATGCTCTCCCTGGATTGATCAGAGAAGTGCTGAGGCGAGGGTGAGGCAACTCCACACTCTCCGGAAAAGACATTTTCAAGGAAATGAGGGATAGTAGTAGATGAGTTGCATGTATGTGTTCTGGTCTTATAAAAAGTGTATTAAAATATTTGCAAGTTAAGGACACTGATATTTGAAAATCAGTTTGCTGCTTTCAAATTATTTAATTGGTTTCTCATCTTTTAATTATTTCTTCTAAGTCCGTTTAAAGTTGGTCAGGCATCCTAATTATGCAAATGTAAATGATTAAAAAACCAGTAGGAAACTTCTTGAAATAAGTATTAAAGGATAATATGGACCCATGATTTTCTGATACCAGAAAATATAGTAATTCCCCACCACCACCACCGAAGCCCAGATTTTATGGACTGACTTTCATTAGAAATTTAAATTTCAGTACGAACTGTTTTTGTCCCATTTCATTAAATCACTCTAATCAGAAAGAAAAGCCACATGGTTTGCCGGGATAGGTCTCTGACAGTTCCTTCCTGAAAAGGACCTAAGAGGTCTTATACGTCCTCCTCATGGTCACTGAGCAAAAAGGAATTTGATTTCAAGGTAATCAAAGTGACCTTTTGTGCCACCACGCTCTTCCTGATAGTTCATCTCCAACTAAAATAACGGAATGCCATCTGTCCCTAGGATGGAATAGGGTCAGCCTTAGAGAGCCTGGGTCCTTCAGGACTTGTTCCCAGCAGCTCATAACAGAGCCCTCACCACAGTGTTTTTAAAACGGGGCTGGGAAACGTGGGCATCAGCAGTCCTGAGCTTGCATGGCTATTCCCCAGGCCACTTCCGTCTTTGCTCTGCTGTCCCTGGTGCCTGGTTTCCGGCTGCTGAGACTCCAGCCTTCACCCCGAGAGCAAGGCTACAGGGAATCAGGCCCCAAGGCCCACACAACCATTTTGTTTACAGATACACTGCCTCCCTCCATCTGCACGGAATGCTAGAGAATTTGGAAGCTGGGCAAATTGCCTTCCCAATAATATTAGGGTTCTGTTACCAAATAACAGAGAGAGGGATGATCCGCTGAGCCTCCAACAGCCCCGGCCCAGAGCCCTACTCATTTCCTGCCGCCACAGGCAAACCCCTGTTTTTAGAAGGAAGAGCTGGACAGAGCTCTGTGGACATTTTTTCCCTGAATTCTTTCCTCCAGCTTCAAAAATTAGCAATTTTAAACCTCATTAGCTACTGTTAGAAAAACAATACAACAAGCAACATTAATGTGAATGAGAAAAGCTAAACATAAACATTCTTTTCTAACCAATATTCTCTCCTAGGTTCCAGAATCTCAGCTTTTGCCAGGACAGAGGTTTCAGACTAAAGGTACGTTTTCATAGCAACATGATGGTTTCTCTCTTTTTTTTTTTTTTCTTTTTGAAACCATTTTGCTGGCTCACTTTTTTTTTTTTTTATTATATGAGAAAATGCACATAACATAAAATCGATCATCTTAACCATTGTTAAGTGTACAGGACAGTAGCATTACATGCATTCACATTGCTGTGCAATCATCACCCCCATCCATTTCCAGAACTTTTTCAACTTTTCAAACTGAAACCTGTTCATGAAACATGAACTCCATTGCTCTTCCTCCCAGCCCCTGGCTCCCACCATCCTACCTTCCGTCTCTGTGAGTTTGATACTCTAGGAATCTCATAGAAGTGGAATCAGAGTATCGGTCCTGGTGTGACTGGCTTGTTTCACTTAGCATAATGTCCTGCCGGCTCACTCCTGCTGTGGCTGGGCGTCAGGATTTCCTTCCGTTTGTAAGGCTGAATAGTAGGCTGCTGTACGTGTAGATCGCGGTTTGTTTATCCAAACAATTCAGTGAATTGTTTCCTCCTTTTAGCTATTGTGAATAATGCTGCCATGAACAGCATGATGGTGTATCATTTCCTAACTATAGAGTTGGAGAGAATCAGAGGTATAGGTCTGCGCGATCTGAGATAACGAGCATTGCACGCAGTGCGTATAGCGATTTGCTGCAGACCATATAGGCCCTCAGCCCTACCAGGAAGGAAGCACACACCCCTGTCCAGCTCCCCCTCTCATCAGCACACCCTGTCATCCTTTGTGCCTGAGGAGGATTTGTCCAAACGTTTGCTGCTGGTGGGTTTTTAAAGCTCTTCATTTTTGTGTTCTCTCTTGTTAGATCCAGAGGAGCAAGGAGACATCGTGGTAGCCTTGTACCCCTATGATGGCATCCACCCAGACGACTTGTCTTTCAGGAAAGGAGAGAAGATGAAAGTCTTGGAGGAGTAAGTACACCCAGGCACCCCGCACCTGCCGCCCCTCGACCCAGGCCACGAAGTCCTGCACACTGGCCCCTCGTTCTACTTGCAGCAGCACAGCAAGAGCCAGACCCGCTCCATGAGCTGAGGCCTCCCAGGCTCCTTGCTGCAGTAGGGCTGGGAGTGGAAGGCGGGGGGCCGAAGGAATGGTCCTCTGGAGTTCGCCTGTGAGCACTCCCCAGAAGTTTCCCTTTGAAGACAGGCACTGATTTCTTTCTTATCCATCTCTGCCCCCTTAAGAAGTGTGGGCATGTGTAGAACATGTGTCATTATAATGACATTTTTATTTAATTATAGTGCCTACATTCAGACTGGGTTTATGGTTCCAACGGGGTTTGATTTTAAGGACACTATGCTAAAGCAGTGGTCAGCTCAATAAAGCCCTTATCAGCATGTGACACTTCTGTGAAGACACTTGGACATCATCATTTGCTTAACCCCATCCATGCTGACTCACAGACCTGTGACCCTAGTTGGACCACAGGGGTAGGGGTTCAGAACAGTACTGAGAATAGGGAACTCCCAGTATCTCAATTCTAACTTGTTTTTCCTTCTAATCTGCATACATTGTCACCCTGAGAGGAGAGAAACCTTTTATTAACTATAAGGTGTTAAGTAGTTGAGAGCTATTATCGATTGAGCATGAACTTGAGCCTAATCCTGGCCCTGCCATTTATTGCTGTGTGATCTTCACAGGTCACTTCAACTCTATACCTCAGTTTCTTCCTTTGTAAAATGGGCTTCACAGGGCCTCTGTCATGGCTGATGTGGGGGATTACGTGTATGTATGTTCATATGGATATATATAGTGTAAGCATATAGATGAGTGGCCATTGTATCCCTCCATGTCTTGCTGATGAGAATCCATCTGCCTGTGGGAATTTGAAGGCTCATAGGGACCATCCGATTTTTCCTCCTTCATTGCCCCATCCTCCTCCCCAGCTCCATGCTTGAGGGCAAGAGCAAGTGACAAGGTCTGCCTGCTTGAAATTATTTTATGATTTTCTAGGGCCTCTATCTATGGAAACTAGATGTTTGGACAAAGGGGTCTCTAACATAGGAACTATGGTTCATTATCCCCTTGACTCCCATTTCTATTAGGAGCCTAAAGTCATGGTAGGCAAACTGTGGCTCGAGAGCCACATGCAGCTCTTTGGCCCCTTGAGTGTGGCTCTTCCACAAAATACCACGGCCTGGGCGAGTCTATTATGAAGAAGTGCATCAGAAGAAGTTTAAGATTAAAAAATTTGGCTCTCAAAAGAAATTTCAATCTTTGTATGCTTAATATTTGGCTCTGTTGACTAATGAGTTTGCCGACCCCTGGCCTAAAGCATTTCTTGGATATCCATTGGGAAATTACAAGCATTTTTGCTTCTGCGGGATGGAACCATTTTCACCAACTCTTGTTTGTGCATCGCTGAGCACAGTGACCCACCCACATCTTGGATGTGAGGCTGTTTGCCTTTGCTTCAGTCTCTACACATATTTGTAATTCAGCAAGAGGAGTGAATTGTCCCACTGGATTTCCAGGTTCCAGGAATCTTCCCACCCTCCCCCACCCACCAAATCACCTGGAGACAGACCATTGCTCTTGTAGCTCTTGAGTAATTGGACGCCCTTTCTGTGTTTCTGTTCCAGGCACGGGGAGTGGTGGAAAGCTAAGTCCCTCTCCACAAAGAGAGAAGGCTTCATCCCCAGCAACTACGTGGCCAAAGTCAACACCTTGGAGACGGAAGAGTGAGTCTTTGCCTGTTGACCTCTTGGAGGGTTTTGTTTGCCAAGTTTGATTTCTCATTCATTCTTTTTTCTTTACTTCCCTGGAGCATAACGTGAACTGTGACAATGTCTTCTCAGGTGGTTTTTCAAGGATATAACCAGGAAAGATGCCGAAAGACAGCTTTTGGCACCAGGGAACAGCCCCGGGGCCTTTCTCATCAGAGAAAGTGAAACATTAAAGGGTAAGAAAGGGCAGAAGGCTTCTTGTAAACACCGCTTAGGAACTCAATATTTATGTCCTGGTAGTGAAATTTTATAGTGTGCAAACATAACAAACTCTAACTATTTATTTTGCTACTTGTTTGCTAAAGTAACATAAAAAACTGGCATAACTATGGCCATTTCTCACCACGCTTTATGCTTGCTGGGTCTCTTACATTATTATTTAGAGTAACTCCTGAAATTTTAAGAGAAAGGAAATCGAAACAATTTTTCAATTCAGCAAAATAATTTTAAAAACCATCATGAAGAAAGAAAATGGCATGTTGGTAAACTTCAGAGCAAACAAAATTCTGGCTTTGTTTATCAAATCAACTTTTTTTTTAAAAAAATATATTTTATTGATTTTGTACAGAGAGGAAGGGAGAGAGATAGAGAGTTAGAAACACCGATGAGAGAGAGTCATCGATCAGCTGCCTCTTGCACACCCCCTACTGGGGATATGCCCGCAACCAAGGTACATGCCCTTGACCGGAATCAAACCGGGGACCTTTCAGTCCCCAAGCCGATGCTCTATCCATTGAGCCAAACCGGTCCCGGCTCAACTTTTTTTTTTTTTTTTTTAAGAGGTCTACATTCATTCTGGCTGTTTGCTAGGGATCGCTGTCTAAAGATCTTTTAATTATTAATTTTTAGAGAGAGAGGAAGGGAGAGGGAAAGGAACATTGTTGTGAGAGCAAAACATGGATTAGCTCCCTCCTGCATGTCCCCTAGCGGGGAATGAGCCCAAAATCCGGGCATGTGCCCTGACCAGGAATTGAACTGGCAACATTTTGGTGCACAGGATGATGCTCAGCCAGCTGAGTCACACAGGCTAGGGTTCAAGTAGACTTTTTATAGGACTTTTCAAATTATGTACTATACCTACTTGATTTATCTTTTGTGGCAAAAGAGGTACTATAGTATTGTGTAATGCAGATCTCATTTATAAAATATGCATATAATCTTTACTTGTACTTTTTCCCTCCTAGGAAGTTACTCTTTGTCTGTCAGAGATTTTGACCCTCTGCACGGTGATGTCATTAAGCACTACAAAATTAGGAGTCTGGACAATGGGGGCTATTACATCTCTCCAAGAATCACTTTTCCCTGTATCAGTGACATGATTAAGCATTACCAAAGTAAGTAAAAACTGGAGGTCGGACAAGACAAATATGTGTATCATAGTAGCTATGTGGTGTCAAACACTTTTCCATAATAAACGTTTTTATGCATTACCTTTTTCTTGATAAAATTTCGGATCATGTTCCGAACTTATCTATAATTAAATATGCAACCAAAGTCAGATTTGATCCTTGGGAATAACTATTCCAGTCCTTCCCTCCTAATCCCTGGTATTTGACAATTAGTGTTTCAGAATTATGAAAAGAAAATGAATACTGTTTTTTCCATAGTGCATATTTTTACAACATACTTTGAACTATCTGGAAGAGGAATGCAATGTGCAGATGTGTGTGTGTGTGTGTGTGTGTGTGTGCGTGTGTGTGTGTGTGTGTGTGTGTGTAAGGAACACATACTCTTGGTAAAAGAACACAGAAAGAGCAACAACACCGAAAGGTTTAGCAGTGGCAAGTCATTGGTCCTTTGTCACCGGTGCCACTCTCCAGCCCTGTTAAGCTGAACCCATGACCAGCCTTTGGGTTTATCCCCTGGGTGATTGCAGTTGGCCGTAGTGGGCAGCTGTGGCGACTGCTCGATGTCTACAACCCCCTTGAAGGCTTAGGTCCCAAAAGATGGAGAGAGCGTGGTACCCCAGATTTTGTGGAGCTTCCCCTCCCTCTCTGTGGTCCCACTCGCTTATTCATCTGGCGTGTGTGTGGAGCGCTTGCTATGCTCTGGCCTTGATCTGGGCCTGGGGGTCCCCTGGTGACAGAACCAAGCCCAATCCCTTTCGCCATGATGAGCTTACCTGTGCTCAGCAATTTGAAATTACAGTGTCTTAAGTGTGGTAATCCATTAGCCTTTGTTTATCTGTTTGTTTGTTTTTTATTGTGTTAGTTGAGTAACAGTATAATGAACAAAATCAAGGATGTTGAAATTGTCTTTCGTTTAAGAATATCAAAAATGGAGAGTCCAAAATAAAAATGCCCTATAAGCATTTTATGGCAAGCTGGAAATTCTAAGACTAATCGTCAAAACCTCCCCATAGGCACTGGCAAATACAAAATATCATCGGTTTTTAAAAATGTTTTTGTTCTCTTTCAAATTAGAGCAGTCAGATGGCTTGTGCAGAAGACTGGAGAAGGCTTGTATCAGCCCCAAACCGCAAAAGCCCTGGGACAAAGACGCCTGGGAGATCCCGCGCGAGTCCATCAAGCTGGTGAAGAAGCTCGGAGCCGGGCAGTTCGGGGAAGTCTGGATGGGTGAGTGTGTGGGTCTGCGGGCGGAAGTCACTCTGGAGGTGACGCCAGGAGCAATAAGGGCTCCAGCCAGTTCCCATCATTTTCCTCAGCCAAACACTCACCTGTGTCAGAAGCATCGCTTCTCCGGTTTTCCTCTGTCCACCTGGCACCAAGAACTGACCTGCAAAACGATTCCTCCTCCGTGTGACTTAGTAATTCTCTTTCAGACTGCGTGTTTGTAAGGAACAGGGCCCATGGGGGTTCATCCCGATTATTCTGTCTGCTCTTTCATGATTCATCGCCAGAGCCTCTGGACACAGCACATTTTAACTGCAGGACATTTGCTTCTGGGGAAGGTACACTTGGTTTAGGACCATCCTTGCTAGTGGGCTTCAGACGGCCCCACAATTTTTTTTGATTTAGAGAGAACCAAGGATCGGCTGCCTCCTGAAAACACACACACACACACACACACACACACACACACACACACACACACACACCACTGGGGATCAAGCCCACAACCGAGGCATGTGCCTGGCCGAGAATCGAACCGTGACCTCCTGGTTCATAGGTCGTTGCTCAACCACTGAGCCACGCAGGCTGGGCAAGGAAGCCCCACCCACGTTTATTGCCATTTCTCACCAAGATGCTCAAAGCGCCATCATTAGTGAACCATTCCTTACAATGAAGGACAGCCTTCTTACGCTGCTTTTTCCCGGGGATTCCTTTGCCCGTTGTCTTTTCTAAAGCTTTCATAGTGAATGTGGGGTTCTTTTGTGATAAAAATACCCTCTCTCTCCACCCCCTTCCCTGTTTTAAAGCATCGTGTTTTCCTGGTTCTAGTCGAAAAGGCAGTTACTTCTGGAAAGGATAAGTCATACACACCTTGTGCCATCACTCCTTCTATCTCCAGCTTTTTGTGTGTGTGAAAGCAAACACGATTTCTAAAGAGCGGGCAGCGTCTGAAAACTGTCCAAGCCCCTGCCCAGCAGGAACCAGACTCGCCCAGCCTGGTTTCATTTCACTTCCTCATCCCGGGCTCTGTGAGGCAGAGGTTGTTTCTGCAACCCACCCCAGCTATGTCCACTTTCTCCTGTTGGCGCTGCTTTAATCGAGATTCTTTTACATCTGGCAGAGCCTGACCCAGCGTACAATGAATTCTTACTGCACTGTAGGATTTTGTGAACACACAGAATTCAGGTGATTGGAATCACACACCGCACATGCATTTGGCTGGTACATTTCAGAGCCAGTCGGCAGTGCATGCCAGGCACTCGGTCTCCCTTCCAATCAGCAGATTTGTGGGCGAGAGCGCTCACTCTACATGTGGTCTCATCTCATTCACACTCTGCTATGAAGTCATAAGAGTACCCTCCTCCTTTCTCTATCTGCTCTGTTCTTTTTTGGGGGGATGCGGGCACTGCAGGTTTTATATTTATTATTGTTGTGGACCCCCACACACTAAACTGAGTGATCTACTGCCAACTGGCACCAATTCCCCACCTCTGAGTGTGCAGGGGGAACTTGCTCTGTTCTTTGTCATTGAGATAAAATTCAAGTAACATAAAATCAATAATTTTAAAGTGAACAATTCAGTGATGTTTACCACATTCACATTGTCGTGCAAACCACCACCTCGATCCAGTTCCAAAATGTTTTCATCACCCAAAGCAAAGACTCTATCCATTCCGCACTTCCCTTTCCCCCTCAACTTCACTCCCCCCCTACACACACACACACACACACACACACACACACACTGGCAACAACCATTTCACTTTCTTTCTCTGTGAATTTGACTGGGCTGAGTACCTCATATAAGTAGAATTGTATTGTATTTGTCCCTTGGTGACTGGCTCATTTCACTTACTATTAAGGTTCATCTTCAAGGTTCATCCTTGTTGTACCACGCCTCAGAATTTCATTCTGACTTGAGGCTGAATAATATTCCATTGTATGCATTATCACAGTTTGTTTATCTGTTTATCTGTTGATGGGCATTTGGGTTGTTTCCACCTTTTGGCTCTTATGAAGAATGATGTTATGAACGTTCTTGTACAAATTATTGTGCGGGCATATATTTCCATTACTCTTAGGTATGAAGGAATGAAATTGTTGGGTCATATGGTAATTCTACATTTAATTGTTTGAAGAACCATCAAGCTGTTATCTGCAACTTTTTTTTAATGCCACCTTATCTTTTTTCTCTAATATATTTCTTAATGTACTATTTTTCAAATCCACAACATTAGTGTTGCAGAAAATCGGAGAAGAACCAAGCAACACTTAGAGAGATGGAGTTACATTTATTATTATTATTATTATTATTATGCGCGGGCCCAGAGGAAAATGTCTCTCAAATTCTGGGCTCCAACATGGAGGAATTTGCCCTATTTATATCTTTTTATCTTCTTTGTCTCCCAAATATGGGGTGTTTCCGGCCCCCTTTGCAAGTTCTTAAAGAGCCCTATATGCTAGGCCTTTGAGACATCAACCAAAGGCTTGGCCTGGTGCCAGCACTGATAACTTCATCTGGGGAAGGTTTAATGGCCTCTCTGAAATGGGAGTAGTCTTGTTTTCCTTATTATTTAAGCAAGCAAGCATTTACAGAAACCAAATAGCAGGGTTAAAATTTCAAACAGCAATTTTTATATAAGATGAGTGCTTCATTAGGACAGGAATAGTGTAATAATTATTGTATACCCTTCCCCTAGATTTACTGGTTAATATTTTGATATATTTGCTTTATCTTTTTTCTACATATACACAAACATATTTTATTGTTGCTGTTTGAATCACTTGAGAGTAAGTTGCAGACATGCAGACGCTTTTCCCTAAATACTTAAGCACGTGTCTCCTAAGAGCAGGGCCATTACCTTACACAATATAGTGATCACATTCAGGAAACTTAACATTGATGCATTCTATTACCTAATGCGGAGTCTGTATTTGAATATCCCTAATTGTTCCAGGAATGTCCTTGTCGCTAAGATCATGTGTTTGCATTTAGTTGACATGTCTTTAGTCTCCTTTAATCTGGAACATTCGGTCTGTTAGCCCATCTTCATCTTTTACGACGTTTTGAGGAACACGGGTCACTTGTTTTTGGAATGTCCTTCATTTGGATTTCTCTGATGTTTCTTGAGACTTGGCTCAGGTTATGCCTTTGTGCCTGAGTATTGCGAAGTGATGCTGTGTCTTCAGTGCATCTGGCAGGAGGTACGGTGTGTTCATTGGTCCCATTATTGCTGATTTCATGTCCATTTGAAGGAGGTCTCCCTTGTAAATGACACTTTCACATTCCCTCTTGTAATTAATTCATGATCTGTGGGGAGATTAGGATTGTGTAAGAACTTCCCCCAAATGGTTTTGACATTACCTGCTCATTTGAATCCTTTTCCCTCTGGGAAGCCATAACTTCTCTAATAAGCCACACTTGCCCCTGTCCTCCTTCCACACTCCCTGGCTCCCTTCAGTAACCAGGGACTCAGCCTTCTCTCCCTGGCCTTCCCTTGTCAGGAACATACATGATCACGATTACACTGAATTGTCTTCCGGGTCTCTGAGTTTATCTGAGTGTGCCAGGATTTAGAGTGGGGAGATGACAAGGTGGAAGGTGAGGAGGATGGAAGGAGAGCCAAAGGTGTCCCAGCTATATGGTGTCCATGGGCCCATTTCCAGGGACACTTCCATGGATTATCTCCTGTACTCATCACAATTACAGGGAAAGGTAAGAATGATTATGGTCATTAGATAAATGAGGACACTGAGAACCAGAGAAGCAACTTGCCCGAAGGCATTCGGGCAGTGAAGGAGCCAGCCTGCAGCCAGTGTCCCAGAGAGCTGGACTCACTTGCTAAGCAAAACTGCAAGTTCACTTGACCTTCCAAGCTTCAGATTCCTCATTGGTAAAATGGGCAAACAATGCTCACCTCTTGTTGAAAGGAAGAATGAGGTTATGTAGTTGAAGGGTTTTCTAAAGTGTCTGGCTCTGAGCACTCTACTTTTATGATTATTTTCATGTTACCGTGTTTGACTATAGCCCTTGGAAGCTGTAATTCAATAGCTTTTCTCCAACTTTAATTATGAATTCAAACAATAAAGAATCCAGTTGGACCTTCCCATGGAGAGTTGTTGGCAAAGGAGTCGCATATCCGTCATGAAGGGGAAAGAAAGGGGGAACTTAGCTGGAGTGTTCTCGTCTGCTCCGCAGCAGCAACCTTGCATATGAGGTGATGGATTGGAGTTTTGCGCCAGCCTTTTCCTGTTCAGTTGTAAAGCCCTGGTAAAGGCGTTGAATTGTGAGCTATTTACACCCAAGAGATAAGAGCGAGGATCTGCTGGTTATCACTTCGAGAGGAAGAGATTATGATAGTTCTGTATTTTGTTCACATTTTCTTGAGGGCTGCTAACCAGTAGAATGGTAACCTTTTTACCAGTGGCATGATGGTGGTGCTTCCGGGGGCCTCTTGCCAGCCAACTCGTCCAGTCTGGATGAGCTGGCGTTAAGTCAGGAGGAAGGTCTCAGTGGGGGGAACATGCCTGAATAGCCATGGTCATAGCACAGTTCTGCGAGAGCTCCAGCACATTGGTTCTTTCTGGGACTGAGAAAACCTCTTTGCTTCGAATTCTAGATGCAAAAAATCCTCCTGCCCATTTCCCACCTCTTGCTGTTCATGGGCTTCCACCGGGCCACGTGCTAAATATTCACCCTGACTGGATAGGACTTTTATTCTGCATGTACCTAGTTGGTGCCTGGGAGACCACTGAGGTTTAGAAGAGAGGAGGCCGGGGCATTGGAAAATATATAGTTGTTTTCTTCAGAGTGGTGCTTTTCATTTAAATTGCTTGGAAGAGGGTAGAAATCTTGTTAAAAGTTATTTTTTGAATAGATTTGTTAATGTTTTCACATAACATAATTCAGTGTACAGTTCAGTTCTACCATGGACAAGCACATTGTATAACCAATTTTCAGAACTCTTCATCTTCTGAAAATGAGACTTCATACTCTTTAAAAA